TTATTCCCCCGTGCCAGCTCCGCGCCTGGCACGAGCACGGACGCGCCCGCAACCCTTGGGGCTCCACAGCCTTGATGCGCCAACACCCGATTTTCCCAGGCCTGCGCAATCCCTGGCAGCGTCGGACTTGCTGAGGGCTCATCCCAAGAGATCCGCACCGGCTTCCAGGCGGCTCGTTCACCAGGGACATCCCCGTCCTCCCTCCCAAGAACAGCATCGCCTGCCGCACAAACCAACACTGAGCTGGCCTGCTGCTCGGAGCATCGCCTTTCAGCCCCGAGGGCTCCCCTTCGCTCAGCGCTGACCCTTGCTGCGCAGGTTATAGTCTTGGGCTTCTAAGAGGGACGTGTGTAGAATTGCAGATCCACACTGTATGACTCGGGCAAGAGCATCTCCACAAGTTGCAAACACACGGCGGCAGAGGGGCCAAAGGTGGGTTACCCAGCCTGATCCATCTCTTACACTGCTCACCTTCAGGAAACAGAGAAAAGGATAGGAAGTGCATAAGCACTCCTAAACGCACAACCGTTGCTTGCAGCAGTTACAAACATTCCTTAACAGAAAAGCTGTTCAATCTGTCCCTTGGAGCAGTAAAGGCAACAGCTCATCCCCAACTGACCAAGCCAAAGGAAGGCAGAATTACCAACAGGGGACAACTGCAGAAGAGGAGGGGACGCAGCAGCTCTTTAGCAGGCCTCCCTCCCTTTTACACCATGTGGTAGCAGATCTGGCATATATAAACTTGGGGTTCTTTTGAGTAGCATACCTTGCAGGGCTCCAGGTGCAAAGAACAGCTTGTCTTCTGAATTCACACGAGGTTTGGGGCAGAGCATAAAGTAAGAAAGAGAATAAGTAGTGAAGCAATATCATTCCTGCAGGGCGAAAAGCACAGAACTCCACCGTGTCCTATGGTTCAGACAGATAAAGTGTATTTTTCAAGTTTCAAAACAAAGATCTGAAAGCACTAAATACACATAAAAGAACAGGTTACACACTGTCACCCCCCCCTTCTTGCTCAAAAGCTGAAAACTGTTCAGCCATTTAGTAGACTATACTTATATTGAAAAAGGTTATTTGACAGTATCAGAAGTTTTGAAACCACAGCAAAAATGCAGCTAGAAGGAAAACTTACACTGCTGAGATCCACATGTAATGTCCACCAGGAACTAAACTGAAAGAACAGCAAGTAATTTGTACTTAGATCTGGAGGAAGCAATATAAATAAAATTACATCTCCACAGTCAGGAGTGTTCTGGGTGGGAAATACACGTAAAGTTTTGTACAAATTCAAGTAAAGATCAGAACCTAAAAAAGAAAGTGAGACAGCTGAAGAGCCATCAGTGAGCACAGAAGCACTGACCCGGGCTGTGAAAAACAAAGGTAAGAGCTTCTATTTGGAAGGAAAGCTTACTCTGTGTGTTTCTTGGCTGCTACAGGCCTAATTTCTATTGCCAAAATAAAAAAAAATTAAAACCCCAGCAACACTGCAGCTGTCATATTCAACAATACAGACAGCAGTGCATGCAAAATAAAATGAGCCTGCAAACCTCTGGCAAATAATAATTAAAAAAAAATATATATTTGAAGATGAAAGGAACCTGTAGTAGCATACTATTTTGATTCTTCTTTTAAGAAATTGTCACGCCAGTACTGTGACTGGAGCCTCTGCTTTGCAATACAAGTTTTGTAACAAACACAGTAACTACAGGTGTGTACACTATGAGTCAAATGTAGCATTTAAATTGTGGGTAGAGATGCATAAACACCACTGAAATTATTCACAGTTTGGACTCAGCCTTGTAACATAAGGTGTCTGATAACTTGCACATTGCCTGAAAAATGACAAACAATTAGTCTCTTAAGGGCTTGGATTATACATTTCTGCACAGAAGATATGTAAGAACTGACTTACTGGAGCTTTACTTAATGTAGATCTTTTAGATCTATATTTGTTGTCTTCATAGAGAAGCATACACTGTACCCACTCTCCATAAATAATACTCAAAAACACCTGTTTAACTTGGTGTGCTTTTCACAATTCTGCCCCACCCCCCCAGTGACTAAGAGAAATGTGTTGTATTATTTTGTCAACATTTTCATAATACAAAAATATGATGCTGAGAAGTCTGGAATTCGTGCATAGACTCTTTCTTGTACAATTTCACCATTTGTTAACTCATTTTGACCTTTCTACAAATGCTCACTATGGCTCATACAAATATTTAATGAAATTAGTCTAAGCCTAAATTCCAAAATACTTGCACTACGATGTCTCCAGCAGTAGCTTCCTATGATCCATAATCAGCTTCTTTATCTCCAAAAATCAAATTCAATTCCATTTGCAAAATACCTTTAGGAAAAAACTGTTAATCTATTGAGAGAATTCACACAGAATGCAACTAAATGCTTTCTGACAGAACAACTTATGTTCAAATTGGACTGGTTTATTTACAACTGTAGTTTATAAACAGTAACACAAACATTTTTACATGAAAAAAATCTCATTGCTGAAGTAGGCACAGAGTCAGAGACTCTTCAGGATATTTTCAGAAGGGAGTAGGAAGAGGAAAATGTAATACAACAGCTGCTGGGCAAAACTACAAATACATGAGCATTGGCCCAGGTGCAGTTTCATGCAAATATCTTCAACAGTGCAAGTTCTATTGGTGTTTACTACGTTGAAAAAAAAAATAGGAAAGGAATTAGTTCTAGAATTAAGGTGCCCTAGCTTGATTCCTAGTAAAATAACTCAGAATAACTGTTTCTTATAAAGGTCAGTTTAATTTATTTTACCTCCTGATGAGGTACCAATTAACAGGTTTTGATTCAAATACTCAGAAGACTTCACACAGCAAAGCTAACCCCTATTGTCTTTATTTCACAGTTTTTGGTAATTTCCACAACAGTCTATGAAGATGCTCTGCCGAGGCCTGTACTGAGCTTTTTAACAAAACTGTTCTTGAAACAAGTGGAGAGCTGCTGATAAACAATCACATAGTTGCCATCTTTCAAACATGGAACTAATTTAGAAGATGTTTATTAGAAGAACATAAACAAATGCTTGAAATGATAAGGCAACACATAATGAATACATTTATTACAGGTATATAGCACTTGAATCTCTTAACTTTGTGTGCTTTAATTTTCTTGCTGAGCACACCTCTGACCAGCATATAACCACTTCCGTGCCAAACAGGTTTTTAAAGGTCTAATTATCTTAGACGTTTTGTTCTGAGGAGCAAGGCAACTCATTTTCAACTGTCATATTCTATTTTGAAGCATTAAATTCAACTTCAATGGACACGCTTTACAGGAGAAACAGCCTCAACCTATGAAATGTAAAATTTTGCATAATTAAAAAATCACAACCCAGTAATAAAAGCTTATTGTGCACAGTTCATTTTCGTATTTACCACCAATTCCAACTTTTTAACCTAGTAGCGCTTAAGATTTTCTAAAAAAAGTTAATTTTACAAAATGCTTGTACTTTTTCCATTTCTCTGCAGCCCAAGCTGCACTTGACCATTTTCAATGAGAAGGAACCAGTATTTCCAACATTTTTATCTGCTCTGCTGATAACCCTAAGACCTTGATACTACCCCGTAGGTAAAAATCAAATTTATGGACTGTAGACAATAGAGACATTTTACTTTCACAGGATAGTAATTTAAAAATCATTCTGTTTTCAATTTTTTCTCCATATCTGGCAGTGCTTCATTACTTGAACGTAGCAAATGCAAACCCAGCTGCATCTTCTCTTGCAAAGACGCAGATCGCTCACATTAAGGCTGCACTAAAAATTAAGCAAACTGACCTTTATAATAAACGTTTATTCCAAACAAACAAACAAAGTAATAAAAAAATTAAAAATCCTGTTTAGAAATGGATAATAATTTACCCTATCTTAAGCCTGCTACTCAGGCACTCCCATCAGCAAACAGAAAAATTCTCTTAAGTTAGTATTCAGTTGAGAAACAGTTTGTGTCCACATACAGTATCTTGGCTGCTTCTTCTTTATAAACTGTTCTTTACAAAGTCTTTAGTTATTAACTCTCCAAGGCATCCAATACTTTCATTATCTGTTGTTTTATGGCTTTGGTAGCATCACCTGCGTTTGGAATCAAATACCTTTAAAAAAAAATAATTAAGAAATTAGAAAAGCCATCATTAATTCACCATAACAATTCTGAGTACCAATTCCATAATTTTTGTTTTGATTTTTTCCCCTGACATGGACTAGAAGGAAGGGAATATATAAAAATGAAAAACTACTGAGAAAAACCCATTTATTTCCTGTTTATACTATGGAATGATTTCTGTTTGTGAACTTGGAACAGTTGAGGAGTACTTCACAGGCCTTTCCTGGAAAGGAAAGAGTTCTTAATTATTTGATAATGCTACAGATCAGGCAGTTCAAGATCTCCAGAGATAGCACTGTCCGACTGCGCACGGCAGTTGTTGTGGGGGGTTTTGTTGTTTTGTTTTTGCTGTTTTTTTTTAATTCCTATAGAAAGCTCTAGGTGATCTATTTATGATCCTTTCTTTTCTGGATTTGCTCCAGCCAACAAGGTGGTGAAGTCATTCAACAAGCAGCAAAGCTCTCTGCAACATTTTTATTTATCTTTGTCTGACCTGCTACCAAACTAATTTCACTCTAAGCAGCCAACAGGCATAGAACAACTTTCCCAGTCAGCTAGGAAACTTACCCCAACTTCTTGTGAAAACAGAGCACCTACTGCACATAGTTCTCTCCAAGGAAGAGGATGAGAAAACGTCCAACTGTTGTCAGCAGCTTTCTTAAAACAGCGCGAAGAATCAACAGGCTACAGTAGTGGGCAAAAGCCCAATACATCCATCTGACTTCCTCCCAGACTTCAGCATGCAAAAGCTGAGCATGGCAATACCTAACTTTCAGGAACCAGGTTTCAGGGGTTTGGTTTTGAAGTCAGACTTCTGGACATCTTGTACAATGCATAGGAAGAGTTAGCTATCTCAAGACGCGGCAGAAGACAGACCACTGTCTTAAATGCCACCCTTCACAAATCCATACTTTATTCTGCAGCCAGTTGTCCAACTCATTTGCATTTAAGACATTACAAAAATGAAACAGTTGCACAGATCCCATCCCCAACAACTGTCATTGCAGACTAGGGAGTTCTTCTCTGCTGGGTCTTGTAATTTATCCTTATTCTGCTGGCAGATCTGTTTTTTAGCTCACATCCAAATGATTTATTCCTAAGTAAAAAAATACTACTTTTCAACTCAGTTCTGGAAATTATATGATTCTAATTACAGCATGATCCTGATTTCCAAATGACAGCATTCTGTATCCCATTACTACTTAAATCTTGCTACTGAGATTGCTTACCTTTCAACTGCCAAAATTTCTATGCCTGAAGTATTGCTATTTCCATACTTAAAGGTGATCAGTTCTGGGTGTTTCTTCTTGGATGTGATTTTGACAACAGAGTTGAGTGCCTGTCGAGACTGTATGTAAGCCAGTCCCTTTCGTGAAGGAATCTCTCTCAAACAGTACATATGAGTTGCTGTCACTAGGAGATGACTTCAAGGAAAAGAAAAATATAAATTAAATTTGCTAATGAACTTAGTATCAGCCATTTTAGAAAGCTAAACTCTACAAGTAAGTTACATGGAGAGAGCTAGATAAAACAGTTCATAAATGGAAGAAACAGTGTTAATATTTCTAAAATCTGTAATTTAGAAAGGTGTACAAAATACTTCAGATTTTCCTTGAGTACTGTATCATAACCATTTGAAAACACACATGGCATCCTCAACAGCATATAAAACCAGAGTGGGCAGTTAACATCACCTCAACACGACTGCCATGAGTGCTATTAACAAAGATCACAACCACCAGCAATGTGGTTAGGGCACACTCAGAGTAGGGAAATTGCTCCACCCTCTGTCTTTCACCCTTCAATCATACCCCAACCCCATCCCTACATCTACAGAGCAACAACTCTCCAAGTGGAGCATCAGACCTAAATTGAAAGGATGTGCTGGTACTCCATGATTGTCCATCACTGTACAAGAACTAAGGTGGAGATGCTGACCTGCCAGCTCAGCTCAAGACCTACTTTTGAAAGAATGCTCAACTAGTGGTGCAAACACATTAGTTGAGTTCCAACTCAGTTTAAGAAATCATACTATGACAGATTACTCATAATACACCATGTAAAACAAACCTAATGGGAAAATAATAATAAAATACAAGAAAAGACCATGATGCAAGAGAAAACCCATCATAATCTCCTGTTCAAATTCAACAGGATTTGTACTCTTTAAAGAAGCCAGAGATTTTCATCAATCTTACAACTAATTCCAGTACCTGGGAAACATATGTCCATTTTCTTTTACTTCATTACAGGGGAAGTTATACTTCACATCAGGTTTATTTATCCATGTTTGGATGTTGACAACCTCTTTTCGATCATCATCTGACATTGAGGAGCTATCAATTTCATCTACTTTGAATGGAAGGAGTAAAAAAAAATATGAAAAAAATTAAAAAATATTTTCCAAGAACATTAGACAACTTTTCTACTCACTTAAACCCACAGTAGTTACACTGGTTCAAACCAAGGTCCAATCTAACCATAAAGTTTAGAGTTCAGAGGGAAGAAAGAAAAAAGCATTCCCTCATTTAATTCTCTCTCAGCACACAACTATTTTCAGCTCAGGGGGTTTATTATACTGGTCTGATTTGTCCATTCAGTAAAGTTTAATAGATTTCTTTTATACAGACTTGTCAGTCTACTTGAAGCCATGTTAATTTTTTGCATCTACAAAAGCAATGGCAAGAAATACAGAAAACTGGTCAACTACATTCCAGGAAAGCCTCCTCTGTGGCTTCTAGTTTCTTGTACAAGAAGAAATAAACTTCTGTTTAAACCCCTTCCAAGTCGGGTATTATTTTTGTGGGCCACTTTTTCACCCTTAAATTGCCTATTTCACAAACAGTTCTAATATTCAGTTATGCCTATTGGAAAGCAATTTAGCCTCTTTCATCACCCTTCTTATCCCTCTGAGCCTCCTCCTGGTTTCTGAGGTAGAGGATTAATGCACACAATATCCAATGTGTGGGTGAACCACAGATTTATACAGTGACATAATAATGTCTCTTTCATTCTCTGTTCCTTTTGTTATAATTCCTAGTGTTTTTATTTGTTTTTTCTGACTGCTAATGAGCACTTACATATTATAAACCTACTGCTGTGGGACACAGCCAAATCAGGCTACCATTTTGGATCTGAAACTAGAACTGTATTTTTCCATATCTTCCTTGCCTCACATTAATTCATACTGAATTTTATGTGCCATTTTATTGCCCAGTCACTCAGGCTACCAAAAGACTCCTTGAGTTCTTCAGTCTGTCCTTATAACCTTGAACAATCTTGGATCATTAGCAAAAATCGTTCTCTTCAAGTTCACCTCCCTTTCTAAGGGCATTTAGGAACATACTCAAAACCAAGATCTTCAGCACAGACCTCTGTGAAACACCCAAAACTCCTGCAAGTGTTATCTCCTTGCTACAAAATACCATTATGTCTAAATATGGTGATTATTTTTATGTAGTAATTTGGTGTTACATTAGAAAATTCAAGCAGTCTAAAAGAATTAGCTATATTAAATCCATAGAAATTACTCCCAGAAATTTAGGATGCCTGGAGAGGTGTTAGAAGTCCCATCCCTGGGAGCATTCAATGCCAGGTTGAACGGGTCTCCGAGCAACCTGAACTAGTTGAAGATGCTCCTTGCTTGCTACAGGGGAGTTGGACTAGATGACCTTGAAAGACCTCTTCCAACCCAAACTTTTCAATGTTTCTAAATAACTTCAAAGGACACCACTTTACTGCACCTTGGAAAAGGTTTTGAAAAGGTTTTCACTGAAAAATGCATTATGAATTGAAAGCAATGGAACAAAATCCACTCTCATTTCACAGAATCACAGAACGGTCATCTGGCTCAACTCTCCTACTCAAGTAGGGCCACCTCGAGCAGATTGCAATATTATGGCTGATTGCAATTATTTACTACAAAAAAACCCAAAATACTAAAACTTCACAGAAACAGGTCCACTTTTTTGCGTTTTTCTGTACCAAAATAACCTGTATTTCACTTAATACGTGTTGGCTTTGCTTATTCAAATTGTTGCAGTGATCCTGCTTACTTGCTAAGTCTAATACTGCATTTAAAAAAGCAAATGTAAATAGAAAATAGCAAACAATCATTACTGAAATTATGTTCTAGACAGTTGTTCTTTGAGGACCTGGTTTTCTGAAACCACATAAACTTTGCCAAACCCTATTATGGATGTTCACAGAACTGTGCAACTTAATTACATAGCATTTGGAGAAGTATCTCGTTAGCATTAAATCTTCTGCCTGATACATCATTTTGCTACTTTCCAATTCTTACAGCAGACAAACAATGATCAATGATCAAGACTCCTAAATTATTTAGTTTGCAGGTCAAGGACTCTTAGTCTAGTTATTTGTTTCTCACATAGAAGCCAAGTATGCCTTTTGGTCACAGAATGGTTACTTGTGTGATGATAATGGCTGGGAACAAGCTAACATTACCAGAACAAAACTAGGACAGAAGTCAGTCAGAAGTCAGTCTGCACCATTCTCATGTTAGCACTGGTCTCAAAAGACCAAAAAAATAAAAAAAATAATAATAATTAAAAAAAATTAAAAAAACAAAAGGCAACTTTGTGAAAAATGTGGTGTTCCAGTTTTGCCTGTAATTTTTCAACTGGATAAAAAAAAAAAAAATAATTTAAAATTGCATGCTTTTTCTTCTCCATGCATATCAAGAGATGAATCAATAGGTTCACTGCTAATAGGCAAAGTCCAAAACACTGGAGAGGTGTTCACATATTAGCCACCTTAAGCCTAGCTCCAACCCTACTTTCAGAAATTCAGATTGTCACATTAACTACCAATACTAAAGAGTCAACCTGAGGCCTATCAGCCAAACTAGATCCTTTACATTTTGCTTACAATCATAATAGAGGTACAACTGCAGGTTTACACAGACAATACCAGTGTAAAAAATAAATAAATAAATCTTTACTACAAAAATAACTAGTTAGTGCTATTTGGTGCCTACCACAAATATTTTCATTTAGTCTTCTACTATGTATTTGAAGAGAGTGGTCATTTCCTGGTTGGTCCTAATAACACACACCAATAATGATAATAGTTATAAAGATCACCTTGTAAGACAAAGGAGTAAAATACACTCACATGATTTAGCAAGCTTAATAATTTTGTCTGAATATGCTCATCTAGGTAAGAGGAAAATAGTCTACTGTACCAGTATCATATTCTTCTTCATCCCCGATGCTGAATACTGGTTTCACACCCCGGTAGGGTTTTCCTACTCTGTCACTGCTGCTGACATGTCTGTTGGCAATGAAAAGGGCAGGAGAGAACATGGGATAGGAGAAGAAAAATAACTTTCAAACTGATGACTGTATGAATCTTACAATAACATATTAGCAAAAACACAACTGTGCAACGAGAGGAGGACAAGAGAACTTCATGAAGCGGCCCGCAAGGAAGCTGTGACTGACCCATCAAGCAATTTGGTTAGTGAAAGCATGTATTCAGTTAGGTGGCAAGGCAGACTGTTGTAACAAATAAAGTGAACAAGAAATACTTCTTTGTTGCAAAAATAACTTCTGGTCACCTTTTCAAATGACAAAATACATTACAGACCTGAAAATGGACAAGATGTGATGAAGTCTCTAGAATGAAACTTAAATATTTCTGGACAGCCGGGGCAGCTTTACAAGGATGCCCAGTTAGGATTAAGTAAAAAAATTAATACTAGTAGCTAACATATTTGGAAGCTCATTTTTCTGGTTAATTCCTCAAAAAATAACAAAATAACTTAAGCACTTCAAAGTGAGGTTATTATAAATCATTCACCCTTTCCACTACTTTCTCCAGCATGAGCAAAATCCTGAAGTCTTTAGTCAAGTAATTCCTATTCTTAAAATCCCAGCATCACTGGGATTTCTGCATAGACATTGACTTCAAAATCACATTTAAATCTACTTCTACAGATTGTATTAGATAACACAAACACACACATTTGAGTCTTAATGTTGCAAATCCAGAGATATTTTAAAGCTCCAGCTGAGACTGCCTTGATTACATGATTAAAGCTATAATTTTAAAATTTCTGACCCTCAGCTGCTGAGAATATCTGAAAAATATGAGAAAACCTAAAAGTTCAGAAAGCCACAAAATCACTAATTGCTGAAAAATAAACAGTTCATGATTTTAGCCTTTGTAACTGACAACATGTTGTAGGTTTAAAAAAAAACAAAAAAACCCCACCCTAAAACCCTGTACCTTCTCCCATTTCAGGTTCTAAGAGCTCCCTCCCCATGCTGCTTCTTTCCTGTAAACCCTGATTCCTGTTTATATGTATTAAAAAATTCCAGTTTATATGCTACTGTAGAACCAAGTTGGAGAGGCAACCTCTTCAGTAATACACAGATGAATGCTAGTACTTATGTATACCTGAAAGCATATTTGAAGAATATATATAGATTATAAAAAGATAAAAACGTAACATATATAACATATAAAAATAAACCTACATTTTCTGTAGCTAGAATTTATTAATGTAGACAAAACAAGGAAATGTTTAATAGGAAAAGAAGCAGAAATGCATTCTACAATGAAACAAAAAAACCCAACAAACAAAAACATGCTCATTAGGGTTTAAGACAATAAGCATCAATGACACTGACAATTTAAGAGGGCAGTGCTTCTATATGGAGGCTTTTGTAAATATGCTTTAGTAATACATAACTAATTGAGTAAGAAGCACATTTAATTAGTATCAAATTGAATAACACAGGGAATATTTAAGACCAGATCTCATTGCTGTTTATAGACCAAAGTTAGTCAAGACAAGAGAAAGTAAAAAGATACTTTACAGAAACCTGGTTAACACCTTAAACTAGATAAGGATTTCCTTTAACCTGGTTGCATGGAAGACCATCATTACATTGTTAGAAACTGCAATTCCCTTTAGTGGCAAACCTGCAAAATGAAATATATTGGTGATAAATTGAATCACCAATTAGATCTAATAGAATGGATGGGAAAAGAATGCCATTCCAGGTTTTGAAGAGCTGCAAATTTAAAAGATCCTAAGAGTGTGAGCAAATTTATTATTGCATCTTCCCAATGAAAGAAGATAAGCAATATGAGTGAAAGGAACAAGTAAAGTAACTGAAGTATAATCTCAAAATATCAAAACTTGATGGTTACAAATGCAGGTTCAAATGTCTTCCAGCTATGGAATACAGTCTCTAATTGTTCTAAGTTGGTATTTTAACACTTTCTTATAATGTTCTAAAAAATGGTCAACAAAATGTGGGGAAAAATTCCCATGATCTTTAGTATTTCTAAATTAACAAAATGTATTACGTGCTAGTGGAATACTCCCACCATGTTTTTAAAAATAATACTGGTTAACATTCCTACTGGTTTTGCTCATGCAACACCATCCTGCAATGCTTACGGGTAAATCCTATCTCAAATTATGTGCAAACTACTTGAAGGAAGAATTGGTCCAAAACTCTTGAAAACTCAAACATCATTTTAAGCCTTCATTAATTCTTCCAACACCAATCTTCATGCTTTTCATGAACCTGCCTGATGAACCTGATCTCCTTTTATAACCTGATGACCTGACTATTGGGTGAGGGAAAGGCTGTGGATATTGTCTATCTGGACCTCCAAAAAGCATCTGACATGGTTCCCCATAGAACTCTTATAAAAAAACTGGCTACTCATAGCTTGGATGAGCATAGGATCTGTTGGATCAAGCACTGGCTGGACAGTTGGGCCCAAAGAGTGGTGGTCAATGGAGTCAAATCCACCTGGGGCCAGTCACAAGTGGTGCTCCTCAGGGCTCAGTGTTGGGACCATTTCTGTTTAACATCTTTATTCATGATTTTGATAAGGACATAGAGTGTATTATCAGTAAGTTTGCAGATGACACCAAGCTAGGCAGAAGTGTTGATCTGCATGAGGATAGGGAGGCTCTACAGAGAGACTTGGATAGATTAGATCATTGGGCTAACGTTAATGGTCTGGGCTTTA